GCAAAAGAGTTTCGAAGTGATGAAAATGTCTTCACGTTTAAGATTTTACTCCTTCATCAATTCTGCGATGCCTTGACCTATTTCTTTCTCGTTGCCGTAAAACTCTGCGCAGTCAATATGACGGTATCCAGCACGAAAAGCCGTTTTTATGGAATTGACCACAACCCCTTTCGGAGCCTGAGTATTAGTTAAATAAACATATGAGGCTTACATCAAATGTTCCGAAGGCTAGCTGAGGAATTTCATGACCACTATTTAGTTTGAGAGTCGGTCCTGTAAACATCGATAGCGAAATATCGGCAAACGAAATGCCACCTATTAGGCAGTTCGCTTAAACAAAAAGGTCATTATTGCTTCACTTTGATAGGTCTAAATAAAGAAAATAAATGGAGCATTAAGACGCCGCAATTTATTAATAGCTTTTTAATTGCTCTTGATTTTCGTATTAGATTCTTGTTGTTTACTGTCGTAAACAAACGAAAATATCAGTAAGTTTTATAATTTTCGAAATTTTTACTCGAGTTAATTATTATGTTTAAAAAATCTATTCCTTTGCTCTTTTGAAAATTGAAAATGTTAATAATTCCGAATCTCATAGGAATTTGCTGAAAAATTTTCATCTCTATCTTAAACTTCACTAGTCGAAATGTAGATACTTGCCTTCCAGGGTATGCTTCATTTGTGCAACTAAAGAGTAACGTATATATTCTCCAATTTACACATTTTGCGTTTTCGCATCTCTTTTCCGGCATAATTGAAATGATCTCGGATCTTATATACATATATATATATATATATTTATTTATTTATCAATTTGTGTCCACTTTACAAAGTGACGAAACTAAGGCAGTTAAGCGGTCACCACCTCCATTGTGCAGTGGTTGCCTCTTTGAAGGGCTATCTGCCCCTTCCACCAAGGAAGCAGAAAATGGCTAACCATTAGTTGGTGTTCCAATTAGAAGTCGGTGATATGCAATAGCCAGGCATCAACTACACCTTCGATACCAAATCCTGATGACAAAGCAGACACTACGTCACCAAACTTACCACAATGTTATTTGAAATTCCATATCGATGGGACTGCTCTCGGAATCATCTCCTTAGCAAATTACACTTTTAAAATTGCAGAAGAACTCTATGCCTCAATTCACTCCATATTACTTCTCTAACCCATGGAGCATCAAGCAGGACCCGATAAAAAACAATGTTTTACAAGGGTGTGGGTTCCTCCTTCGAAGGTGGATCTATTGTGTTCCGCTGCTGCGTAGAAAGAGAATAGTTTAGAGTAAACATCTGCGCTAACGATTGTTAAATTTTCCACTTGAGACCCATCAGTGAAGGCTTTGAGCTATTGATCTGAAGGATAGTTGACATTGATTGTCTCAAGAACAGGTGAGCGCATTTGTGTTGGGGGTGTTTGCTTTCCTGAAGTAGTCAAGCAGTTGGATGCAAAACTCTACATCAGTGACTGCTTATGTATTCATGAGTAGAGAGAAGCTTTTTGGCTTGTTATCGATTTGTAATGCTTTCTTCAGTTCTGTGGCTTTCTGAATTAGACCAGATTGCGTTTTTAGGTGTCTTGGTCTAATTTCGAAGGTATTGAAGAATTTGTCCATGGGAGTGCGCAGTAGCTTCTCGCACAGGATTAAGACCTTCTCTTTGATAAGGAACGTATTGTGGTGTTCCCTGTAACCAGAGACATTACAACAATTGGTGTTGTTTCTTTCCTTCAATTAATTAGTCGAAATGCCTGGTTTTACGTCTTCAGGTACGATTTGAGAATCGCTTCAGAGGCTTTAATGAATGGCTAGGAGCAAAACAGCTTTATTGGTGGTGTTAAGAGTTGGGCGTGCACAACCCCATTTGCTATCAGCGGGGTACGTTCAGTCTATTAGAGAATCGCTCTGCTACTTAAGCAAAGTAGCTTTTCCATATTAGCTTCGTGACAAACGTCAGTCCAAGATAAATGAACTTGTTGGTTTTTTCCAGGGAAATAACCTT